ATACTATTCTTTCTTCACTAAATGGCCTTGGCAACACTGTTGAACATCCAATAGCCATAGATGTTTGGGCTTATTTCTGGACTCTCAATTCTATTTCATTGGTCTATATGTCTATCCTTATGCAAGTACCACACTATTTTGATTAATGTTTTTTAAAGATTTTATTTATTTACCTGACAGAGAGAGAGAGAGCGCGCACAAGCAGGGGCAGGAGCAGAGGGAGAGGGAGAAGCAGGCTCCCCGCAGGGCAGGGAGCCCGATTCGGGGCCTGATCCCAGGCCCCCGGGATCGTGACCTAAGCCAACAGCAGACACTTAACCAACTGAGCCACCCAGGTGCCCTATTTTGATTAATTTTGCATTAAGTTTTGAAAATTGGGAAGTCTGAGTCCTTCAACTTTTTCTTTTCAATGTTGTTTTTGGGCTATTGAGGGCCCCTTAGAGTTCCATATGAATTTGAGGACTGGCTTTTCCATTTCTGCAAAAAAGGCTATTGGAACTTTGATAGGGAATGACTGAATCTGTAGAATGCTTTGGGGAATACTGAAATATTAGTGATATGAAATCTTTCAATCCATAAATATTTATTATTTCTGTTTATTTAGGTCCTCTTTAATTTCTTTCAGCAATGTTTTATAGTTTCTCAATGCAAAAGTCTTTAAATCCCTTCTTTAAATTTATTCTTGGTCTTTTATTCTTCAGATATTATAACTGGAATTATTTTCTTAATTTTCTTTTGGTTTATTCATTGATGGAGTATAGAAACACAACTTTTCATGTCTTGATCTTACACCTGTAACTTTTGCTGAATTCATTTATTAGCTCTAGTACTTTTTTTGTAGTTTCTGTAGTATTTTCTATTTATGTCATCTGCAAATACAGGTAATTTTACTTCTTCCCTTTTAATTTGGATGCCTTCTATTTTTTCTTTTTTTTTTTAAGATTTTACTCATTTATTTGAGAGAGAGAGTGTGCTCAAGCAAGCACAAGCAGGGGGAGGGGGAGGGACAGAGGGAGAGGGAGAGCAGGGCTCAATCCCAGGACCCCGCAATCATGACCTGAGCTAAAGTTAGATGATAAACCAACTAGCCATCCAGGCGCCCCATTTCTTTTTCCTTGATTCACTGATCTGACTAGGACTTCCAGTACAGTGGGGGAAATGGGCATCTTTGTCTCAAGGGGGAAAGCTTTCAGATTTTTACCACTGAGCATGATGTTAACTGTAGGTTTTTCATATGTGCCTTTTATCTGTTAAAGAAGTTCCCTTCTAGTCCTAATTTGTGTTTTTATCATAAAAGAATGTTTAATTTTGTTAAATGCTTTTCCCATGTCTTTTTTTCCCCGTTTTTTGAGATGATCATGTAGTTTTCTCTCTCATTTTATTAAGTTTACTTTTTTGCTTAGTCTTCAAAGTATTAAGAATGGCAGTAATAGACAATTTAATTTCCAAGGAAATCTAGAATAACACTTTTATTTTCTGAATTGTTTAAAGAGCTATGTTACTCATTAGTAGGAGTTTCCTTATGCAGACAGAAAGTAAGCACACATGAAAAACTATAAAGGCCAGCAGAACTACCTTTGGAGTTACTATCCTAGAGAAAATATTTATGACAACATCTGCTTCAGTTACATATGCAAAGCATTTCATAAAATATTAAGGAGAAAAGCAAGCTTCATAAATAATTAAAATTAAACAAAAACTCCTAGGGCCAATGTGTTTCCCTATAGGGGATGAAAGATATAGAGAGCACTGTAACTGCTACAGTGTGTCAGTACAGATTATCCCCAAAGTATCTTTGAGAATATGTACAGTTACAATTTAGATATGGTGGGGGGAGGGGGGAATAAACTCCTCCCCCAAGAAGACAAAGTAATAATGGTGTAGAATAAAAACCTAAAGAGTTTCAAACTTCTCTCTTGGTTATCAGATCACTGTGTTTCTTTTAGCAGTATAATAAGAACAGCAAAACAAGCTCTTTGTAACAGAAAAGCACATGGCATAAAACTTAGGAGTTATGAGCTCTTCTGGTATTTGGAACAAAAGGGCTCATCACCCCTAGTTACATCATTCTTACTTTCAATCTAAACAGAAGAGCATCTCATTTATTCCTCATCCTTGGGGAGCAAGATATTCATATGAGTGACTACAGAGGAAAATGAAAGCTTATCTCTTTATGTGTCCAAATCAGTTTATACATTTTAAATTCATTTTCTATGCAAATAATACAAGTTAGAGAGATAACACAGTATAGTAGTAGAGCGTGGAAAATGCTACATCTGAGTATGCAACCTCAGGCAGCCATATAAACTTCCTGAATCTGTTTTCCTCTCTGTATAATGCACACAATAATACCAACCTCAGAGGATATGCTAAAAACTCCTAGAAAATTAAGTGTTGTGTAAAATATAGTTATTTTTTTAAGACTATACACTTACCTGCTTTATAAACTAAAGGTAGTGTATCCAATCTAACTTATTCTCAGAAAAGGAGATTTCAGACAATTTTGTCAGAGGACAATCCCCCTGATAAAATTAGAATGTAATAAAATAAAAACAAAATATAATTTCTAATAAAATTAGAAATGAAAACCATTACCCCACTACATACTCCCACTGAATGAAAACTGGGAAAACTCACTTCTTAAATAACTCATAAGTTAACAAGAGGAAAAATGAAGAAACAACAAACAGCCCTACATATACAATGCAGTTAAAGTAGAAAAAGAAAATTTTTAGTTTTAAATGGATTTACCTGAAAACAAGAAAGACTAAAACAGGATCTAATACAAAAAGAAGCCTGAAAAATAATAAGCACATAGCTGCAATAAAGTAGAAGGAAATAAAGGCAGAAATTAAGGAAATAAACAATAACATGGAGGAGTAGAACAAAAGCTGGCTCTTAGAAGAGATTAATAGACTGGTAAATCTGATCAACATGAGAGCGCACAAACAGTATTAGAAATGAAAAAGGAGACAACTGTTAGAGGCACACAAGTTTATACAGAAACATATACCATCAAATTTGATAAATAAAATGGACAATTGTCTAGGAAAGTGTAAGTTATCAAAATGTGCTAAAAAGGGAACAGAAACCCTGAATGGATCAATAAATATAAACAATTTGATCACTAGTCAAAAATCAACCACTCCATAAATGGAACAAAGCCAAGATTTTTTTTTAAAGATTTTATTTATTATTTATTTGAGAGACAGAATGAGACAGAGCACGAGAGGGGGTTGGGTCAGAGGGAGAAGCAGACTCCCCGCTGAGCAGGGAGCCCGATGTGGGACTCAATCCCAGGACTCCAGGATCATGACCTGAGCTGAAGGCAGTCGCTTAACCAGCTGAGTCACCCAGCCGCCCCAAGATGTTTTTATAGACTCTTTCCCCTAACATTCTCTTACGGAAAATGTCAAATGTACATACATTAAAATAAAAAGACTGGAAACACCCATATACCTACTACTTAGGTTCTTCAATTAACATTTTTCTTTTTTTAATTTTATTTAACTGTTTGAGAGAGAAGAGAGTGAGCACGCATGCACAAGAGCAGGGGGAGAGGCAGAGGAAGAGGGAGAAACAGACTCCTCACTGAGCATGGAGCTCAACTTGGGGCTCTATCTCAGGGGTCTGGGATTATGACCTGAGCTGAAGGCAGACACTTAACCCACTGAGCCACAGAGGTACCCCCAATTAGTATTTCTTAATATTTGTTTTCACAAAACTATCCATCTTTCTGTTCATCCTTCTTTCCATACATCAATCCTTTTATATCTTGTATTAGGTTCTGAAGAGTAAAAATAAAGGAAAATAGAAGTATGACAGGATTTCAAAGCACCATACTAGTGATCTTTATATTTCCACATCAACTTTATATTTTAAAGGTTTTTCTAAAAACAGAATTAGAGCTATAGTACACTGAAAACAAGAATATATACATAATGAGGTATTCAGGAAGAAGAGTCTATGACTCTCTCCTTAAGAAACCCTGATGCTTTTCCAAACAATATCTTAAGGTATTAGCCTGTTCCTGCTTCCCCTGCAAAAAAATAGGACCAAATTGGATCTTTAAAAATAGCCATTATAAAATGAATATATTCTTACAAACGTATGCATTCAGTCAGGAAATATTTGCTATGCATTTATCAGAATAAAAATAACATTACTAATCACAAGAACAATTTATCTTCAAAAGGACAGTTTTTCTGCTGCAAAAAATTTTAATCTGTCAGATCCTAAAGAATTCAAACAATTTTGTTTGTTTTCTCTGCACACAGTGTGAACATGCCAGCAAGCTGCTGGCTCTCAACACTTTAAGATTACTATCAAAGAATGACAGCATATAGAAGGTAAGGTTAATTAAAAAAAAAACAGGACTGAGTATTCATTTCTTTAATGATTATAAAATACTACTTTCCTTTTTGTGCTCTTTTATTATTCTTTGCACTGAGATATAACCTTGTTGTTCCCCCAAATGAATGAGTTGAATGCATTCAAAATTTATTTTGAGTGGAAGGTAAAACTCTTTAAATCATTTCTTCTCAAAAGCAAAATATAGGGGCGCCTGGGTGGCTCAGTCATTAAGCGTCTGCCTTTGGCTCAGGTCATGATCCCAGGGTCCTGGGATCGAGCCCCGCATCGGGCTCCCTCCTCAGCGGGAAGCCTGCTTCTCCCTCTCCCACTCCCCCTGCTTGTGTTCCTGCTCTCGCTATGTCTCTCTCTGTCAAATAAATAAATAAAATCTTAAAAAAAAAAAGCAACATATATGGCAGCAGGCTCACGTCCTGATCTAGCTTGTATCATCACTTCCCTTTTTCCCCCTTGTGCCAACTCATCAAGAAGAGAACTCCTTACAACTTTGTTAGAAGGTATACTGTTTCCAGGAAATCTGCCCTTTAAAGCATTCTTCTAATATGTTGGTACCTTCATTTTGTTTATATACAAAGACATTTTAGATTCTAAAATGGATAACATCACATATTTCGCTAAAGGTAACTTACCTTGCTGGAGGTTTCTAATAAAAACTGGAATGTGTTCTGCACAGCTTGGCATGTCTCTAGCTCAGTCCGGCTGAAGGCTATTAAATAATCCTTCAGGTGATCATATACATTTCCATCAAGAGCCTGTAAAAGAGTAAACAAAAGTAAAAAAAAATTATGACAAAGCTCTGATACATAATGCCTAGTGTTCACAAGGTAAATTCAGTTTAAAATCCATTAATAATGAGTGGACAAAAGATAAAGATTGTTATGTATGCATACATGTAAACAGTAAACAATCACCTGGGAAAATGTTGAATCTTTCTAATAAATAAGAACTAAAAAAGAGAAAATCCAATATTGGTAAAGCTATGGGAACAGAACAAAACTTGGAGACAAAGTGGCTAGGTTCTGATCTTTGTCTGTTTATTAAATGCGTCAACCACTGTAGTCACTTTAATAAGAGAGTAGGTATGGGAGTGGAATGAAACAATGGTTGTGAAAGGATCCAGGCACAGTGCCTGAAACAGAGTAGACATGCAAACATTAATCTCCTCCATTTTTTATAAGATTTTATTTATTTATTTGACAGAGAGAGAGCAAGAGAGCACAAGCAGGGGGAGTGGCCGAGGGAGAGAGAGAAGGAGGGAGCCTGACATGGGTCTCAGTTCCAGGACCCCAGGATCATGACCTGAGCTGAAGGCAGATGCTTAACCGACTGAGCCACCTAAGCGCCCCAATCTCCTCCATTTTTCCTCATCCACTGTTGGTAGGGATTATAAGTTTTTCTTACTATAGAGCAGAGAAAAATACACAATAGAAGTGGTTTAAAAAAAGTGACTCAGGGGGGTGCCTACGTGGCTCAGTCGGTTAAGCATCTGCCTTCAGCTCAGGTCATGATCCTAGGGTCCTGGGATCAAGCCCCGCATCAGGCTCCTTGCTCAGCAGGGTGCCTGATTCTCCCTCTCCCTCTGCCTGCCACCCCCCCTGCTTGTGTGCTCTGTCAAATAAATACAATCTTAAAAAAAAATAAATAAAAATAAAGTGACTCGGAAGTACAGTTTTGGGGAAGAAATACCAATGAAATGTCTCTAAGTAGTTTTAAATGTTCTTTGTTTAAGCATTTACAGTAGAACTCACTGAAATTGAAAGGGGAAAAAAAAAGAACACCACTCAACATTTGAAAAATAATTAAGCTATGATATATATATATATATATATATATATATATACATAATGACTAAAATATGTATGCCAACAAAAACTGTGGGAACTATAATTGCAAAAGCATGTATAAATAATTTTAGGTTAAAAAAATAGAATAGTATACATATTAGCAACAAGTACGGGCAAAATATATCTACAATAATAATAATAATCAAAAAAGGTTCTGGACTCTTGCCTATCAATGGAGGTCTTAAAAATTGAGGTAAAATTTGTACAACATAAAATCCACTATTCTAGCTATTTTAAAGTATACTATTCAGTGGCTTTTAGTACATCCACAATGTTGTACAACCACCACTACTAATTCCAGCACATTTGCACTGCCCCAAAAGAAATCCCATAAACACTAGCAGTGACTCCCATGCCCCTCTTTCCCCCCCACCTCTGGCAACCACTAATCCTTCTATCTCTACGGATTTGCCTATTCTTAGACATTTCATATAAATAGAATCATAGAACATGTGTCCTTTTGCGCCTGCCTCTGTCATGTAGCATAATGTTTTCGAAGTTCATCAATGTATTAATAGTTCATTTCTTTTTATGGCCAAATAACATTCCCTTGTATGGATATACCACATTTTGTTTATCCATTCATTGGCTGATGGCCATTTAGGTTGTTTCCACTTTTTGGCCATTATGGATAATGCTGCTATGAACATTTATGTACAAGTTTTTATTTGAACATCTGTTTCCAATTCTCTTGGGTATATGCCCAGTAGTGGAATTGCTGGGTCCTCTGGTAATTCCATGTCTAACTATTTGAGGAACTGCCAAACTTTTCCACAGTGGCTGCATCATTTTACATCCCCACTAGCAATGTATGAAGGTTCTAATTTCTCCACATTTTCTTCAACACTTGTTATTTTCTGTTTTTTAAAATTATTCAAGTCATCTTAGCAGTATCTCATTGTGGTTTTGACTTGCATTTATCTAATGACTAATAATGCTGAGTATCTTTTCATGTGCTTATTGGCTATCTGTATATTGTCCTTGGGAGAAATGTCTATTCAAGTCCTTCACTCATTTTTAAATTGGTTTGTTTGTATTTTTGTTGTGGAATTTTAAGAGTTCTTCGTTTATTTGGATACATATATTTTATGAGATGTATGACTTCCAAATACGTTCTCCTATTTTGTGAGCTATTTTTTTCACTTTCTCAATAGTGTCCTTTGATGCACAAACGTTCTTATTTTGATGAAGTCTAATTTAGCTATTTTTCTTTTGTTGCTTGTGTTTTGGTATATCTAAGAATCCTCAATGGAGGTTTTATAGTAAATTCTTTGTACATCCTATGTTTGGCTATTCCATTAAACTTTTACTATAAAACTGATTTTTTTAAAAGATTCATTTATTTTTTAGAGACAGAGAGAGAGAGAGAGAGAGCATGCATACAAGCAGGGGAAGAGTCAGAGGGAGAGACTATCCAAGCAGACTCCTGCTGAGCACAGAGCCCCATGCGGGGCTCAATCCCACAACCCTGAGATTGTAACTTGAGCCAAAACCTAAAGTCGCACGCTTGACTGACTGAGCCACCCAGGCGCCCCTATAAAACTGATTTTTTTTTAAGATTTTATTTATTTATTCATGAGAGACAGAGGAGGAGAGAGAGAGAGGGAGAGAGAGAGAGAGAGCAGAGGGAGAAGCAGGCTCCCAAGGAGCAGGGAGCCGGATGCGGAACTCGATCCCAGGACCCTGGGATCATGACCTGAGCCAAAGGCAGACGCTTAACCATCTGAGCCACCCAGGCGCCCTAAAACTGATTTTCATTTATTTATTTTTTTAAATATTTTTAAAAATATTTTTTTATTTATTCATCTGAGACAGAGAGAGAGAGAGAGAGAGAGAGAGCATGAGCAAGGGGAGAGGCAGAGGGAGAGGGAGAAGCAGGCTCCCCGCTGAGCCAGACCAATGTGGGGCTTGATTCCAGGACCCCGGGATCATGACCTGAGCCAAAGGCAGACGCTTAACTATCTGAGCCACCCAGGCACCCCTAAAATTGATTTTTTAAAAATACACACATTCTATCCCTGAAGCACTAATAAAGCTGCACGTTCTATAGTGCTTACACCACCAGATGGCACCATCAAGCACTTTAAATATAGGCAGTATAAATTCCTTAAAATTCCTTTCCATGTAGTTATGTAACACATCCCCAGCAAGACTACTGTGTTGTCTGAGTAAGAATTCCTAGCTTAGGACATGCTTTTCGTGAACTTGTTAAAAAAGAAACATAAATTCTTCTAATATGGTTTTATCTTAGAAATGCTCTTGGTAGATAGTCTTAACCTCATATTTGCAGGAAACAACTGGGGCATTTTATTTAAACACAGCAAATAGGAAAAAAAAAAAAAAACCCACACAGCAAATCGCAATATAGGCATCATGAGCTCCTAGCCTCCAAATTTCTGATTCAGTAGGTTGGGATGGGGGTGGGGGTGAATTTATATTTTCTAACAGCTTGCTGCTGGTCTGGGGACCATACTTTGAGAACTGATGGACTAAATAGTTATTTTAGCTGATCAGGTTGAGCATCTACATAGACTCAGATCCTAGTGACCCTGGAGGAGGGAGCGTGGCTAGAGCAGAGAAGTCTACCATCCCGAACAGGGTCAACAGCCCCAATGCAGCAGGTAGGCAGATCAGTAGCTATCTTCAACAGAATCATGCTAACATCAGAATTAGAGGCAGCATATGATGTAGCCTCTGGGAAAGAACTTGAGTTCTGAAGTAAGTTGGATGTGGATTAGAAGGGCAGCACTGTTACTTACTTCCTCATTTTGATGGTTTTCTCATTTGTAATTAGGGAAAGTGGGAATACCATACACTCCACAGGCACACTGTGAAGATTAAACAAAGGAAGTGGCACAATGTTAATCTCCTTTCTTGCCTTCCTTAAAAATCTTCAATGGATTGGCCATATATTGGTAACCGTTAAAGCTGGGTAATGGGTACACTGGAGTCATTATACAATTTTTTATTGCAGTATATGTTATATTTTTCCATAAAAAAATAAAAAGAAAGCCTGAATATCAGATCAGGAAAAAAAAATGATGCCATAATTTTTTTTCAATGGCTCTCACTGTATTTTTTGAAAAGTCAAAATTCTTTAACTGAAATCTATGGCCCTTTATAATCTAGTCCCATGTACTCTACATCCCAACCACACTGAGCCATTTTAGAAAATGACATTCACTTTCATGTTTCCAATTAAGTTATTCTCTTGGCTTCGAATGTTCTCCCCCCTCCCCAACTTCTCTTCATTCAAATAGTAATAATGATGGCTGACACAGGCAGCTAACATTTACTAATGACATTTGACCTAAAATAGGTGATCCCTGGGATGGAAGCTAAGTCCAAAATAGCCTATTCTTTACCATCAAATGGCTATTCTTCCTACCAAATAGAGGAAGTCTATCTTCAGTAGAAGAGATTTACACCAACTCACAAGGAAAAGCAGTGATGAGAAATTTGGCAGAGTGAAGCTGGGACTGGGGGGTAGAGGGAGGGACAGGGAGTGTCCTTGGATTGGGTGGTTTCTGAGTAAGCACCCCCTTGTCCCTTCTGTGATTAGTTAACAAACTCCTACTTTGGTCAAGCTACTTAGAGTTGAGTCTTTGTTATTTGCAATTAAGAGACTCCTCACTAAAGGGTAACAAATGACAACTGTAGCTTATAACGGCCATACTATTATTTCTTTTGAAAGTTGTATTATAAGAAAAGCTTTGATTCATCTAGGTAATTAACTATAAAAAATAATTCAATAGCTTGCCTTCTATTCCTGGTTCTCTTCAATTAAACAGATCTAAAAGTTTGAAGTAGACAATTTTTATTACTGAATCACTAGTACATATCAAAAGGAACATGTATTTCTTTCTTTCTAAAGATTTTATTTATTTATTTGGCAGAGAATGCATGCA